CGTGCTTTCGCTTCCGACGAGGCCAAAGCAGATGTACAGGATGAATCCATGGTTGAGTCTTCCGAAGCTGCCACAGACATCCCCGTGCAAACCACGTCAGCTGGACCTGCCGAATTTATCCGTCTCAGCGGAGCAGACTCTGAAGATGTTCACGATGCGGTTCTTGATTACGAACGTGATGGTCAGCAGCAGCCCATGCCAGTTGTCTCCGAAGCAGCAATCCGTGTAACACCTGAAGAAGTTGGGGGGGAACAGAGGTCAGAACACAACTTCTCCGGTATCAACTCAAATCGTCCGCGTTTTACAGAAATTGGTTTACAAGTATTGGGACTTAGAGTCGCAGTACAGGAAAACAGCAGTTATATTTTGGAGTCGAAAACAGTTCGTCAAGCCTTGACAAGTCAACACCGAGAAAATGGCGCGAAGCCATGGACCGAGAGTTAGCAGCTGTGGAAAAGAGAGGTACCTGGGATCTAATCCCATTGAAAGCAACAAAGGGGAATAAGGTTCTTACCAGAAAATGGGGTTTCCGTGTGAAGACAAACGCCGATGGTTCCTTTGAAAAATTCAAGGTGCGATGGCTCGTCCACGGCTTCGAGCAAACTTTTGGACTCGACTACGAATTAACTTTTGCTCCCGTCGGCAGACACACTAGTGTCTGAATTCTCCTCTGTATCGCGGCCTACCGGAATTTCAAACTTCGACAAATCGACGTCGCCAATGCATTTTTATATGCACCCGTCGACGCCTTAATTCTGGTTGAGTACCCGCATTCTTACGAAACTAATCCTCCTAGCATATGCCGTCTCATAAAGTCTCTCTTCGGCATCAAACAGGCTCTACGAATATAGCAGCAGTATCTACATCATCAACTATGAACTGCCGGGTTTCATCAGCTTCCACACGACCAGGGAATGTATCTGCTTACCGACGGTACTGACTACATTCTACTCGTCGCTTACGTCTACGACTTACTTTACATCAGCACTACCGATTCTCTTGCTACTGTCTTCGAACACAAACTCCAACAGAATCTACAGATTACTATCACTCCTACAGTCACACAGTTCCTCGGGCTTAACATCCACCGAACAGCAACCGCTATTCATCTTACAGCTTCTAAGTACGCAGCTACGCTAGCCGCACGTTTTAATCTCACAGCTTCAACTATAACCACTCCTTACCGACAGACTACAAACCTGATACTACTCCACTCGATAACACTGAACTACAGCTTTATCAGCATCAACTGGGTTGTCTTCTATTCGCAGCTGTAACGTGTCGTCCGGATCTCGCCTATGCCGCTAGCCAGCTCGCGCAATTTCTGCGTCGACCTGAGGGGGAGAATTGGCTAGATCTTCTTTGCGCTCTACAGTATTTTATTTCGACACCTGAAGTTGGACTTACAGTGACAGAAACAATTGTCCGGATGTTTTGCATTAATTAGGGTTTTTGGGCTTTCGGACCACTGTACATAAATTCCTAAAGTTAAATTGTGGAACGCTTTGGGAGGGGCAAATAGTGGATGTATTCACAATGCTAAAATCCATAATAGTACACTGGATCTAAGTTAGTGCCAAAAGATATACAAAGAGTACATCCATACAATTATTTCCCAGGACAAAGAGCAAACTTCCGCGCAGAGTTTCTAGTACCTATTCCACCAACACTTGGCCTTGATCACCACCTGCACCCTCCTAGGCATGTTATCTACGAGGTTAGTGCAAACATTTACAGGGATCTCATCGCACTCTTCCTGGACCCACCCTTTTGCATAAGGGGGTGAGCACTAGGAAAATCGCGAAGTATTTGAGCGTATGCAATAGTAATGTGCACGATTTCAGATTGAATGTTATCTCTGAGACTAGCCACGCCGAGGTGTGGCCAAAGATGTCATAAGTCGATTAGTCCCATCTTATCATGGATCGTCTTCGTCGTACCGTTGTAGGTTAAAATTACGAGTAGAGTGGCGAAAACTAGCGTCTCCGCCGTGAAACTTAGGGTAACATAGCACGGTCGACTGTGCACCGTTTCACTGATAGAATCACATTAAAATATACGGGTCTCGTCACGGTGCCACAGTCGAAGAAGCCCTGACTGGTGGGGAAGAATATCCAGATTGAGGTCTCGTGAGGATGAGGGTCACTCGAGTGCTATAAACTCATGCTCTCCAAGCCATTCCAAGCCTAGGAGAGACACGTGGCTTGGAATGGCTTGGAGAGTACGAGTATGTTGCACTGTTGTGACCCTTTTCCTCACCAGACCTCAAACCGGGAATTCTTTCTGAACAGTCGCGGCTTCTTCGACTGCTGCACCGTGACAAGACCTATGGATCCTAGCGTGATTCTAATAGTGCAAGGGTGCACGGTCGACCGTGCTATGTTACCCTAAGTTCCGCGGCAGATACGCTAGTTTTCGCCACTTTGCTCATAATTTTACCCTACAACGATACGACGAAGACGATCCGTGATACGACGGAGTCAATCGACTTATGGCATCTTTGGCCACAGTCCAGCATGGCTAGTCTCAGAGATAACATTAAGTCAGAAATCGTTCACAATACTCTTGCATACGCTCAAATCCTTCACAATTTTCCTAGTGCTCACGCCCTTATGCAAAAGCGTGGGTCCAGGAAGAGTGCGAGAAGATCCCTGTAAAGGTTTGCACTAACCTCGTAGATAACATGCCTAGGAGGGTGCATGTGGTGATCAAGACCAAGTGTTGGTGGACTAGGTACTAGAAACGCTGCGCGAAAGTTTGCTATTTGTCCTGGGAAATCATTGTCTGGTTGTACTCTTTGTATATCTTTTGGCACTAAGTTAGATCTAGTGTACTATTATGGATTTTTGTGCTGTGAACACATCCACTATGTGCCCCTCCCAAAACGTACCACCATTAAACATTAAGACTATATGTGCAGTGGCCGGAAAGCCCCCAAACCCTAATTAATGCAAAACATCCAGACATTTGTTTCCGTCACTGTACCTACCAAGTCACTACTACGAAAACTTTATATCTTAACGGGTACGTCGATGCTGATCATGCAGCAGATACTTCTAATCGTCGATCTCGCACCGGCTTCATCTATCGTCTCGAACCTATTGGGACTATCTCGTGGAATTCTACAAAGCAAGAGCTCGTAGCTCTCTCATCCGCTGAAGCCGAGTTTATAGCTGCCTGCACAGCTACTCGCGAAGGTCTCTATCATCAAGAGCTACTGGATGAAGCGAAATTAACGACAAGTACGCAGTTCACCCTGCAGTGCGACAACCAACGTGCAATCAGAATTGCGCGTCAACCTGGTTTCACCAACTGGACGAAACACATTTCGCTGCGATACTTCTTCGTCAAAGATGAAGTCGAGAAGGGGAGAATGCGATTGGTCTATTGTTCGACCAATGAAATGGCTAAAGATTTTCTCACCAAGAAGCTGACACGTCAGAAGTTCCAGTACTGCAACGAACTCTGCCGAATTATCAAGAAGTGACACTATCGGACTTCCAGAAATGAAGAGGAGTGTTGTGACAAAATCGTACTCAAGCATTTCTGTAAGTAGTTCCGATAGATATTGTCGAATTACACTGTAGTTAGCATCCGTAGAATGATGTCAGCAAATAGCGCTCGTCTGGATGATTACGTCAGCAGGTCGTTTCAGTCACGCAAACAGTCGCGCTCTTTTCAGTAGCGGTTAGAGCGCATAGCGCAAATAGTTTTGAACAGGTACATTACCGAATAGGTACTTCTAGCAGATATAAAAGTAGTTTGTACAATTTTAGTTATTAACTTGTTCTTCAGTAAATTCTGGCCAACACTTGACAAGTTCTAAGACTTCTGCTGTCTTACTAGTCTACCATTCCATGAAAGATCCTTGGTTAAGTCTTTAAGTATTACAAGGCTGTAACACAGACTTTGGTGTTATAACTTGTTAATACTGGCTGTTACTGGAGGTAGTTCCAGTATTATTTTCTACTTCAAGTACTTATGTCTGCAGATTCTATGCTTAGTCTCCTGCATCACCTTTCAAATTCTTTCGCATATGAGGTATCGCGCTACTAGTACAGTCTAACTGTAATATCAGGAATGCATAAGTAAACTCTGTCGAGTATACTTCAACATAGCCTCTCAAACATGGAACTAGTTGGACCTCTTATCATACATGACTATAACCATAACTAGCTTCTTATCATTATTTGAACTAGAGTCTGCGAAGTAGACCGTCAGTGTTATGAATGGAACTGCCGAGTAGCGCGGAGGGCAATGGCGAAACTGTGAACGAGTGAATGACAATAAAATGAAAGACAACACAATATGTAGGAAACCTAGGGTGATCCTGGACGTAAGATCGGAAGGTTCGGAAAGGTATCGAAGGGCCCCGATGTGTCGAGGCGAGGTCCGGAGAGGCTCAGAAGGCTCGGCCCGAAAGGTCTGGAACCCTGCCCAAGGTTGGGGACTCTTCGAGTCGTACGCTCTGTAGCAAGCCAAGGAATTACTAATTCCTTACAGTCAGCAACCGCTCATTCCACAATCAGCCCAGTGTGATGTGAAGGTTTGGCGAAGCGCATCTCCCTTATGAGGTGCCTTGCAGATGGTCGCACAAGCCTATGGGGGCACGTTGAAGCCACACACTGTCGTCGCTTCGTCATCATCCGCGGCATCAACAACAGCCACAACTCAACTAGCGTTTCCCCCACCCCATCCACCCACCCACCCACATCACCACGTTGTACTTTGCTTATCTTCCCCCATCCCCCGTTCTGCTGGTCACATGGCTGCTTTGGAGTGGCGTGGCGCTCCTCTTCTTGCACTTGGTTGCATTTGTCGTTTCGAAAGAGAACCCAGCCGGGATGGGAATGGGAGGTTTGGAATGAAGCAGGAGCAACCAAACCCAGGCACACCCTTCAAGGGGGAATGCCATAGTGGCCAATGAGTGACTCTTGCACTATGCGCCAGACACTCATGATACAGTACAGTAACATCCAGGGCGACATCGCTCCCACCGCCAACGACAACCCGTCCCGTCATCACCCCAGCGTGCCCTAGCTGCGTCGTCCTCTCCCGGCCAATGTCCCTCGCAAGCGCCACACAGCCCGTTTCATCCGCTGCACCTCTCTGCACTCTGCCACCACCACGTCTTACCACACCAATTCCCGTGGGGCAAATCTCGTCCGTGCACCAAATGCAGCTATGTTCTTCACGAGGCCCTCGCAACTGGCTGTCACGCCTGCCTGTAGAATTCGCCTGATTTACCCTAAGCGCAACTGGATAGATCAACCTTCTCACACATTTGCGTTTGCGCAAACCCACCCAACGTGCCCTTCGTTCCTCGTGAGCCTCTAAACTGTCGTCTTTTTTTCTCAGTGCGTCGTTAGGACGCGATTCTCTAGAGCCAGTTCGCCGAGCCCCTCACTCCAGTAGTTGGAGCGAGCCACTACACGGTCGCGCCATACGTACCGGTATTTCCGCGCCCACACGAGCCGCCACCAGAGCGCATAGCCATGCAGCACACCGCGATGGTCGCTGCAGTCAGCCCACAGCGTTCCGCCGCAAGTGCGGCCCCTCCCCAACCGCCGCTCCGCGATCCCGGCAAGGCCAAGGAAGCGGACTGCGATCCACCTCCCGCGGAGCAGCACCGCGCGCACGCCCAGCAGCGCGCACAATCGCACTACCGCGACGCCCCCCACCCGCCACACCCGGTGCCGCGCGCATCGCAGCCGCCGTCAATAAGCCCACTCCGCCCGCCGCGCCCGCGCCACCATTGGCGATCCGCGTCGGTGAGTGCGGCGGAAGGGATCGCCGCAGGGGCGGAAGGAGCCGACCCCAGCGACCACGACGCCATGCGCGCGGACGACGGCGACGGCGTCGCCGTCACGTGCTTCGGCGCCCCCGGCGCCCGCGGACTCCCGTGGCTCGGCGGAAAGGCGCCCGCCGCGGCGCTGGCGCCGTCTTCCTCGTCGCGATGGCGGCGGCTGCAGGAGCAATGGCGGAACGGGGAGGGGCAGGGGGAGGGGCAGGGGGAGGGGGAGACCGGGGAGGCGGAGGATGATGATGAGGGTTCGGAGGCGGGGCGGGAGCATGCCCCAGCGAGCGCTGCGAGCAGCAGGGGTGGCGTGGGTGCGGGCAGAGACGTGAGTGGCGCGGAGGTTGGCGGCGCTGATGGGGGGGGAGGAGCGGCCCCTGGGAAGAGGGCCGGGCTGAGGGGCAGAGCCGGACCATGGGGCTTCCGCTCCTTGTCAGCAGCGGCCGCCACCACGCCATCCACTTCCGAACCTGATTCAGACGACGCTGATTCCGACGCCGGGGCTGTGGCGGAGGAGGGGGGGTTGGGGAAGAGGCGCAGTGCGGTGATGGCGATGGTGCGATCCCTGTCCTCCTCCCGCTCGCGCCTACCTTCCGATTCCGCTGCGCCGCCCCCTCCCTCCTCGCCCCCATCCTCCTCCGCGTCGTCCAGCGTATCTCGGGATGCCCCGCGCCTGCCGTATCTCTTCTCTCTCGTCAAGCGCCCCTCCTTCGGCCGTGCCACCACAGGCTATGCTGCTGCCAGCAGCGACAGCAGCAGCGGGGAAGGCGGTAGCAGTGGCAGCGGGGATGTGGGTGCTGCTGGGTTGCATGGGGGTCAGCAGAGCACGGCAAGCAGTGCAGGGGGGGGCGAGGGGGAGGAGGCGGTCGCACCTGGTAGCACACACGAAACTCTCCCACAGCCTCACGGCAGCCGCACCACTGCCGCCATTGCCGCCACTGCCGCTGAAGAGCGTTGCGAGGGGAAGTCGTTTAGTGGGGAGGTGACGCGCCCAGCAGCCTTGCTGCGCATGCCCAAATCGAGCTCCGTCTCCGCCGCTATGCCCCCCCCGCATGCCGCCACACACACGCCAGCAGCACAGGCGGACGCTGATTCAGGGGGGCCAGGTGGAGCGCACCGGAGCGGGGGGCTGGGGGAGCATGGGCGGGGTAGTGTAAGTGGCGAATGGTCCCACGGGCAGGCGAGGGGGCACCGCCACAGCAAGTCCCTCCACCATGTGCCCACCCCCCTGCCCCTGCTGCACGCGCACGCACTGCAGGGCGGGGAGGCAGGTGCAGGGGAGCATGGGGCACCAGCAACGGGCAGCGAGGATGCAGGCAGGCATAGGACGGCGGGGGACAGGGCGGTGGTGGCATGGGAATGGGGCGCACCGGATGCAGTGCGCTGGCTGGACCACCACTCGCGCCCGCCGTCAGCTGCCAGCCAAGACCTCCTCCCCACTCAAATCACCCGCGCCTCAACCACCTCCCCCGCACCTGGCGCCCCAGCCGTCAATCCCGAGCCTGTGCCCCGAACCAGCTCCGCGCCTGGAGCAGAAGTGCGGCCCAAACCAGTCAAGCTGCCTGCTTCTGGGCTAGGCTCGGCGGCAAGAGGCGGTCGAGCGCCCCTGGGTGGCGCAGCAAGGATGTTCCGCAGCGCCAGTGAGGGGGGCGCGGGGCGCAGGCCGGCAGTGGGGGGGGAGGTGGCAGAGGGCGCTGCTGCAGCGGCGCCAGCGAGGCTGTCGCACCTGGGGTCGTTCCGCCAGGGGCTCCGGTGGGGAGGGAGCGAGGCCGGGGGGAAGGCGCCAGGTGGGGCGGACAGAGAAGCAGTGGGTGGTGCTGTGGTGGGTAGTTCGGCAGGGGGGGCAGATAGGGATAAAGGAGGAGACGGGAGAGCGAGTGGAGGTGGTGTGAGGGTTGTTTGTCTCACAGGGGACTTGGATTCTGCTACTGCTCCGTCTCCTGCCACTGCCACTGCCACTGCCACTGCCACTGCCACAGCCACTGCCACGGCCACTGCCACTGCATCTGCATTGCGTGCTGGTGCTGCTGTGGCATCAGCAGGGTCAGTTGCGCATGGTGGAGAAAGAGGAGCATCCGCATCCGCATCATCGGCAGCCACAGTTGCAGCGCTGACATTGGCGGGCGGGAAGGCCATAGTGCGAGGGTCCATCATATCGCCCATGAGGCCCCACACCACTGCCACCACCGCACCTGCTGCTGCTGCTGCTGCTGCTGCTGTGGGCTGTGTGAGCAAGGGACGTGAGCCGGAGTGTGCGTCCCCTGCAGCGTCGCCAGGCCATGCAGCGCCCGACACGCCAAGCTCCGCCTCTCTGCTCTCGCCCGCCTCCTTTGTCGACAGCCCCGGCCCCGCGGCCACCCACCCGGCTGCCGCGTCGGTGCTGTCCCCACAAGCCCCCGCGCACGTGGTCTTCGTACCCCGCCTGCTGCCGCCCAACGCCAAAGCTCCTGCTCTGCGTGGTGGGGGGCAGGAGGACGCAGGTATGGTGAGGGGTGTGGGTGCTGCTGCTGTGGATGGTGGTGGCGGCAGAGGGAGCAGCGACGCGCAGAGGCGTTCTGAGGAGCAGCAGCTGGCACGAGGCGAGGATGAGGTGGCGGACGGAGGGCGTGCACTGCTGGGAGGGAGAGAGCAGGTGGCGCGAGGAGAGCAGCAGGACACGATGGGGAGTAGGGGGTGGGGGAGTCACGCTGTGGCTGAAGGGGGGGAGGGGGCAGGCAGCAAGGTGAAGCTGGGCGTTGAAGCGGGGCGAGCAGTGGGTGGTGGTGGGGGCAGGGTGGGGCGGCACCGGCGCGTGGAGTCAGACCCGTGTGTGGGCGCTGTGCTGCAACGCAGGGCTGCAGGCAGGTGGGGCCACGGGACCAGTGGGGCTGGCGAGCAGGGCAGAGGGGGCACAGGGGGCAGCGAGGGCAGAGGGGGCAGAGAGTGCAGTGCAGGGGAGGGCCCGGTGAAGGCGATGGTGCTGGGCGGGATTGTGATTGCACGGGGGCACGCGGACCACAGGGACTGCGTGCCTGCTGGGGGGGGCAGCCGGGGCCGGCACCGCGTGGGCAGGGGGGCCAGGGGGCGGGGTGGGGGGAGGGGTGGGGAGGGAGGAGAAGAGGGATGGGGGGAGGGAGGTGAGAAGACTGGGGAAGGGAGTTTGGTGGAGAGAGGGGGGGTGAGGGCGGTGTATGGGATGGACAAGGTGCTGGAGCAGCTGGCACGCCTGGAAGAAGACATGGCTGCCAAGGGTAAACCACCCAATAAAAGCAGCACCCGGAGAGCTTCTGCTGGTGCTGGCGGTGGTAATGGGAGGGGCAAGAAGAAGGGTGCACAATCGCATTCTGGCGTGCATGCACGCGAGGCGGTGTGGCCTGTGGATGCAGCACGGGCAGGTGGAGGAAAGGTGGGGGCAGCGCGCAGTGGGGAGGATGAAACGAGGCTGTTGCAGTCGGCAGGAAATGAGAGGCGTGGGCTGGACGACTTGCAAGGAGGCCGGGGAGAGCAGTCGAGGAGCGAGTGGGATGTGGAGCGCGGGGATGGTGTTGATGCAGTGAGTGGTGCGCACTCTGGGGGGAGGAGGTTGGCGAGGGACAGGGAGATCGGCAGCTTCGTGGGCAGCAGGAAGGGGGAGGCGTACAGGGCGGAGCAAGGCGAGGGCAGGGAGGAGGGAGGGGCGGTGGATGAGGAGGATGGCGACAGCGAGGCGTGGGTGAGGGACGCCCTGCGCCGCAACAAGGCTGCGCGCAGACGGATGGGGCAGGGGTGTGGCGCGGAGTGTGGAGAGGGCGAGGGGGAGCAGGAGGGGGAGTGGGGGGGGACACTGAGGAGGACGAGGCGCAGCACCTGGCGGCGCAGTGGCTGCGGCAGCAGGGCGCGCCCGAGCCGTGGGCGCACGCTCTGAGCCTGCGGCGGCACTGGCTGGGCGGCAGCTGGGAGAGCGAGGACGTGGTGGTCGTGGACGAGCACGGCCGGCAGGTCGCCAGGGGCGCGGGGGGCAGGGAGAGAGTGGGGCGAGGGGAAGAGGGCGAGGAGGGGAGTGAGAAGCGCGTGGGGGAGGGGAGGGGGCGGGAGCGGCGGCGTGTGGAGTACGAGTACGGGGCGCAGTACGATCTGCTGCGCATCCTCAGCGGGGGCTTCACTGTGAGCGACGACGACGCCGCGAGTGTGGCGTCCGGCGCTGTGGACGTGATGGTGGTGGACATGGGCGCGCGCGCCCGTTCTCAGGAGGGCCCGGGGCTGCTGCGCTCCGCCAGTGGGCGCTGGGGCAGTGGCGCACTGACAGGCCGGCTGGGGAGTGGGAAATGGGGCAGTGGAAGGTTGGGGAGCGGGCAGTGGGGGAGTGGTAAGCTGGGGAGTGGACAGTGGGGTAGTGGGCAGTGGGTGGGACATGAGGTGTGGGGGGATGTGGTTCAGGAAGGGATGGAGGAGGAGGACGACGACAACGAGGAGGACGACGACAACGAGGAGGACGACGACGACGACGAGGAGGAGGAGGAAGAGGAGGAGGAGCAGAATGAGGAGGGAGGAGATGAAGGAATGAGTGGCAGGGTGAATGGAGAGAGTGAGGAGGAGGCGCAGGAAGGGGGTGCGGAGGGTGAGGGCATGGCAGTGCGACGCAGCGGAACAGCAGCAGGGCGAGTCTCCGATGACACTGATGATGACGACCGCATCCATGTGGCGCCCCCTCTTGCCATGCTGCAGCAGCAGCAGCGACCATGGCGGAGGCAGGGAGGGAGCAAGCAGTGGCAGAGGCAGGGGGCAAGCACAGGCGAGGGGGGTGGGAGAGAGAAAGGTAAGGGGGAGTGGGGGGAGGGGGCAGTAGGAGCAGTGGGAAGGGGGGACGAAGAGGGCAGTGAGTGGTGGCGCGGCAGTGAGGGAAGGGCTGACCAATGCAGTAGCCGTGAGGCGGGCAGGGCAGGGGGCACGCACTTGGAGGCGGGCAGTGGCGGGCAGGTGAGCAAGCAACAGCAGCAGCAGCAGGAGGAGGAGGAAGTGGAGGAGGAGGATGACAAGGAGGAACAGGAGGAAGAGGAGGAGGATGGGGGGGAGGTGGGGGAGGAGGAGGAAGAGGAGGAGCAGCAGGGAGAAGAGGTGCTAAGGCACGCATGGCAGGAGGGAGAGGAGTGCGGTGAGAGGGGGGGGGGAATGAGTGCGAGGTGAGGGGCAGCGGTGGTGCGCAGGAGGATGGGCAGAGCCCTGAGGGGACGAAGCGGTGCGACACGGGGGGCAGCACGGGCAGCTGTGTGGTGTGGTCCGTGGACAGCCGGCACCAGCCCGCGTTCACCATCTGGGAGGTGGCCTCGCCGGGGCCCTCGGAGTGCCTGGGGGAGGACAACGCAGGGCAGGGGCACGTGGGGAGAGAGGATGAGATCGGGGGGAATTCGGCGGGTTCGGAGGGGCTTGTGGGAGGAATGGGAGGCTTTTGTGAGGCGCAGGAGGATGGGGATGGGAATAGCGGGGCCTGGGAGGGGTGTGAGGGGCGTGGCGAGGGAGAGGAGAGTGAGGTTGTGGGGAGAGGGGATGGGGAGGGTGAGGGGGGCAAGGGAGGGCGTGTGGAGGAGAGCATGATGCTCAGCAAGCAGCCCCTTGTGCGCCTCTCGCGCTCGCCCTTCCACTAGGACGGCAAGGGGGGCAAGGGTGGGTACAGGGAGGAGCAGAATGAGAGGGCAGAAATTGCAAAACATAACTCTTGAAATCCTGGCTCACGATGCTAGGAATTTTGCTTCTTCTCTTGACGAGAAGTATCTCTTACGTCACTCCTGCGCCATACCATATGTGCTAGACGTGTATTCTGAGCTGCGTGTCATATCGTAACAAGGGAAGGGGACTGTAAGGAATTTTCCATTCCTTAGTGCGCCACACCGCTAACTTGTACCCCAACCCCACACAGCACCGACACCTGCCCTAGCTTCGGCCCGAACACGGCACCGAACAGGGCTTCAGAAGTTAGGACAAATTTCTCAAAACTGAATAATGAAAAATGATGAGTACTTGTGTACAAGGAAATATATCTACGGGTTGTACCCTCTAAGAGGTGACCCTATACAGTCTATACAAACATTACAGATTACACATGCTTGACACACCCCCTAGACTGCATAGGGGCAGTTCCTGAACGAGTAGCTCAGGGCGGCACTGTCAAACATGTGTAGTTATCATGTGTGTATAGACTGTATAGGGTCACCTTTCTAGAGAGTACAACATTTAGGTATATGTTTGTGTACTCTCTCTCTCAAATCATTAAATTCACCTTTTGATATGGTATCACGCGTAGGTAGGATCCCCCCCCCCCCCCCCCTAACGCTTCCGCTCGCCCCCTAGCTGGGCCCCGTCGTGATCCTCGACCCGTCGCGCCCCTCCCTGGGCCCCGTCGCGCCCCTCCCTGGGCCCTGTCGCGCCCCTCCCTGGGCCCCGTCGTGCTCCTAGCCCCGTCGCGACCGTCCCTAGCCCCGTCGCGCCCCTTTCCCTAGACCCGTCGCGCCCCTCCCTAAGCCCTGTCGCGCCCCTCCCTGGGCCCCGTACCGCCCCTCCTGGGCCCCCCGTCGTGCTCCTAGCCCCGTCGCGACCGTCCCTAGGCCCGTCGCGCCCCTTCCTGGGCCTCGCCGCGCCCCTCCTGGGCCCCCCCCATTGCGCCCCTCCTAGGCCCGTAGTGCCCCTCCTAGGCCCGTAGCGCCCCTCCTGGGCCCCCATTGCGCCCCTCCTGGGCCCCCATTGCGCCCCTCCTGGGCCCGTAGCGCCCCTCCTGGGCCCGTAGCGCCCCTCCTGGGCCTGTTGCGCCCCTCCTGGGCCTGTAGCGCCCCTCCTGGGCCTGTTGCGCCCCTCCTGGGCCCGTAGCGCCCCTCCTGGGCCTGTTGCGCCCCTCCTGGGCCCTGCCGCGCTCCTCCCTGGGCCCCGTATCCACCCTCCTTGGCCCCGTCGCGCCCCTCCTGGGCCCCCCCTTCGCGCCCCTCCAGGGCCCCTGTCGTGCCCCTCCTGGGCCCCGTCGAGCCCCTCCTGGGCCCCGTCGCCCCTGCTCGGCCCCGTCGCCCCTGCTCGGCCCCGTCGCCCCTGCTCGGCCCCGTCGCCCCAGCTCGGCCCTGTCGCGGCCTCTCGGCCCCGTGGCGCCCGCCCGGCCCCTGTCGCAGCTGCCCGGCCCCTGTCGCACCTGCCCGGCCCCGTCACGCCCGCCCGGCCCCGTCGCCCCCTGCCCGGCCCTGCTGTGTCCTGCCCGGCCCCGTCGCCCCCTGCCGGGCCCTGCTGTGTCCTGCCCGGCCCCGTCGCTGCCGCCCGGCCTTGTCGCTGCCGCCCGGCCCCGTCGCAGCCGCCCGGCCCCGTCGCAGCCGCCCGGCCTCGTCGCTGCCACCCGGCCCTGTCGCAGCCGCCCGGCCCCTCGTCGCGCCTGCCCGGCCCCGTCGCGCCTGCCCGGTCCCGTCGCGCCTGCCCCGGCCCTCCATACTTCCTGGTACTGTCCCCCGTTCCCCGCACCACTTTGCACCCTCCTGCACTTTCCTGCCCCGCCTTGCACCGCATTGCACCTCACTGAACCGCACTGCCCGCACTGCACCGCACTGGATCGCACTGCACCGCACTGCACCGCCCTGCACCGCACTGCACAGCACTCCACCGCACTCCACTGTCCTCCACTGCCCCTCATGGCTGCTGAGCTTCGTTTTGATGCTGAGGGTCAGCCTCTGGAGTTCGAGGCGTGGTTGGCTGACCTTCGCCGCCACCTCACTGGTCAGCGGCAGGACGGCCACCCGCTTTCTGCACACCTAGACGGTATGCTCCCCTGCCCTGACCCCCCTGCTGTGCTGCCCGCTGATCCCACGCCCGCTGAGCGCGAGTCCACTGCCGCCGCTGCCCTTGCCCGCTCTGTCTGGCTTTCCCGCGATGCCCTTGCTCAGCTCGCCATTAGCAATGCCCTCCCCCCCCTTGAGCGCCCTCGCTTTAGAACCATTACTACCGCCCAGGCCTACCTCGATGCTGTCATCAAGCGCTATTCTACCCCTCCTGCTGCCTCAGTGGGTCGCCTGATCCTCCCCCTGCTCTTTCCTGACCTGGCGTCTTTCCCCACTGTCTCTGACCTCGCTGCCCACCTGCGCTCGATAGATGAGGCCTGGCGCGCTGCCTGCACTGATGCACAGCTTAGAGTCCACCAGCCTCCCATGACCTCTACCCTCTACCTCCTTGCCACCCGCCTCCCTGACCGCCTTGCCGCCGCCCGCGACCAGTTCCTTAGCATCCACCCTGCTGCTCTCACCCTCACCGACTTTGTTGACACCCTGACTGCCATAGAGACTCGTCACCGCTCCATAGCCCAGGCGAGCGGTACAGTACCGGTCCCTATCTTTCAGGGTTGTGCCCCCGCTCAGTGTACCTTCTCCGACGGCTCTGTCGCTGTGGCTGAGACTGCTGCTGCAGTGCAGTCCCGCTCGGGGAAGGGCCGCCGCCCCAAGGTTGGGAGCGGCGGAGGCGGCGGGGGTGCGGGTGGGGGTAGTGGTGGAGGCGGGTCGTCCGGTGCCGGTGCGGACGTGGGGACCCTGCCCGGTCCAGCTGCCCCACTGCCTCCACCGTTGCAGCAGCCGCAGCAGCAGCAGTCGCCGCAGCCGCAGCCTCCGCAGCAGCCGCCGCAGACGAGGCCGGCGAGTGCTCTCCCGCCTGGGTGGCCTGGAGCTGGTGGTGGTCGTGCGCGTGGTGGTGCACCGGGTGGTGGTTCTGGAGGCGGGCCCTGTCAGTACCAGATCCAGACCGGTCCTCGCCGCGGCTTCGTTTGCGGTAAGATCGGTCATTCCACTCCTCGCTGTTTTCGTCGTCTGGACGACCTGTTCCGCCAGCGCTTTGGCCCGGCGCCTGACCTCCCGGACTGGCACAGCTTGCTTAGGCGTAGCATTCGGATTTTTTGACTTGGACATGGATGCCATTGTAGCAGCCTTGCATGTGATGTATGCCGATGACTCTAGTGTGCTTCCCTCTTATTACCCCGTGTTGCCTAGTGTAGCTGTGCCTAGCGTAGACTCCCCTGCTGCGTCAGGCGTAGGATCTCCTGCTTTGCTTAGCCTCGGTGCTTCCACCGCTTCACTGTCGCCCCGCGCGACTGCTGCGCTTTCCTTCACCTTGGACTCTGGCGCCTCTCGGTGTTTCTTCCGCGACTCCACGACGCTGACGCCGCTGCCTGTTCCCGCTGCAGTTACTCTTGCTGACCCCTCCGGTGGTCCCGTCGTTGCCCGCAGTTCCACCTCCCTTCCCTGTCCGGCGGTTCCTTCAGGTTCGCTCACCGGTCTGCATATCCCCTCGTTCTCCAGGAACCTAGTTGGTGTCGGCTGCCTCCAGGACCTTGGCGTCACCACTACGTTCCCTGGTCACGAGCGGTATGCTGTCTGTACCGAGGCCGCCACTGGTGCCCCCCTTACCACTTTCCCCCGGGACCCGGTGTCCGGCCTGTTCACACTTGACACCGCGACGTCCCCGGCTGGGTCTTCCCCCCAGGTAGCTGCGTCCACCTTGGTTGCTGCTGCGTGCTCCTGTCGGTCCCTCACTCATCCGACTCTCCTTTGGCACCACCGCCTTGGTCACCCTGCACTCCCGCGTCTACGTCACATGTCCCAGCACGGTCTCGTCCTTGGTCTCCCCGGTTCGTTCCCTGAGTTTCCCTCCTCCCCCGCCCCACCGTGCACGCCTTGTGTCGAGGGCCGGCTCCGCCGTGCCCCTCACTCCTCCTCTTTTCCCCCTACCACCGCACCACTGCAGACTCTGCACATGGACGTCTGGGGCCCAGCCCCGGTCCATGGGCCGCGTCGCGAGCGCTTCTTCCTAGTGCTTGTCGACGACTTCACACGTTACACCACCGTCTTTCCCCTGGAGCGGAAGGCCGACGTGCCTGACGTTCTCATCCCCTGGCTTGTCTCTGCTCGTCTCCACCGCGGTCTCCCTGCCTTGCGCCTCCACTCCGACCGGGGTGGCGAGTTCGCCTCAGGTGTCCTTGGTCGCTTCTGTCGTGCGGAGGGCATCACCCAGACGTTTACCCTGCCGGACTCCCCGCAGCAGAATGGGGTCGCTGAGCGACGCATCGGTTTGGTCATGGAGGTGGCTCGCACCTCCGTGATCCACGCCGGTGCACCCCATTTTCTGTGGCCGTTCGCCGTGCGCTACGCCGCTCACCAGCTTAACCTGTGGCCGCACCCCCAGCGGCCGCAGGTTTCGCCGACCCTTCTGTGGACCGGGTCCCCTGGTGACGCGTCTGCGTTCCACGTCTGGGGCTGCCTTGCTCACGTTCGTGCCTCTGGCACGGACAAGCTCACTGCCCGCACCCTCCCCTGCGTCTTCCTTGGTTTCCCCCTTGACGCGTCCGACTGGCACTTCTACCACCCGCCGTCTCACCGCTTCTTTCACTCTCGCGACGTCACCTTTGACGAGTCCGTCTCCTTCTACCGCCGCTTTCCCCACCGTGGTCCCCCGGTTACTCCCCCCCTGTTCCTGGTTCCTCCCTCCCTGGTGGCCCCTGCCCCTCCCCCCCCCCGGCCCCCCCGTCCGGCCCCCTCTGGTGTGTCTCACGTCACCCCCCTCCCGTCGGTCGACGCGTCTTCTGACTCTGGTAGTCCTTTGGCGCAGTCCTCGCCGTCTGTCCCTCCCCCGGTGTCTCCTCCTCCACCGCCTCCGCAGCCGCCGTCGCCGCGGCTACTGCTGCCTCGTTCACGCCGCCGTTGCAGCCGTCGTCTCCGCCGCCGCCGCCGTCGCAGCCGTCGCTGCAGCCGCCGCCGCCGCCGCCGCTGTCGTCGCTGCCGCCGTTTGTGGACTCTGGGGGTGCTGGCGTTGAGGTGGGTACTAGTCCCGGGGCTCCCGTCGTGGCTTGTCCCGGCGGGCCTGGGGGTGGTACCGGTGCTGGTGGGTTTCGGGCTCTGGGGGTGTCCCTTCTGGGGGTGCAGGTGTGGAGGGTTCGGGAGGTAGCCGTCGCGCAGCTTGTGGCTCTGGTGTTGGTGTTGTGTCGCCGCAGCAGCAGTCCCCGCCGGTGTCCGCCCTCCGTCTGCTCGTCCTTCCGTCCCCTGACCCTGCGCCTGTTCCTCTCCGGCCGTCTCCCCCTCTTCCCGTCTACGGCCCCGTGTTCCCTCCGCCGGACTCGTCCCCGGCTCGTTTTCCCCCTCGTTCCCCACCCGTGTCCCCTCCTCTGTCTCCTGACCCGACGCCGCCCTCTCACGTCTGGTCTCGCCGCCCCTCCCGTGCTCGTCCTGTCTCCCCCGTCCCGCGCACTCACCCTATGTTGCTCCGCTCCCACGCGTCTCGTCCTCCCCTCCTCCCGTCTCCTCCTCCGTCCTCTCTTGTCGTTGCGTCTCCTCCTCTGTCTGACTACTTTCGTGCCGCTCGTCCTCTTGTTCCTCGGGTCCTTGCCTCTCTCGTTACCGACCCGTCTGTTCCAGTGTCGAGTCTTGACGCCCTTGTCGCTGCGGTTGCTGACTTCGCCTCTACCCGCCGCCTTGACTACGCTCCGCTCTGGTCTCTGACCCTGCCTGTCCTCCGTCTGTCGGGGGTGCTCCTGCCCTCGGCAGTGACGTCCTGGAGGACCGCCAGTTTGAGCTTGCTTTCCTGTCCGAGGCTGCTCCCCATCTCTGTTCCATGCTGCTAGTCCCTGAGGGTGACCCAGACGCTTTTGACATCCCGACCCCTCGTACTTACGCTGAGGCGGTTTCGGGACCTTGGGCCTCTCAGTGGATAGCTGCCATGGAGCAGGAGATGGCATCTTGGAGATCCACCGGCACCTTCGTCGACGCAGTTCCCCCACCTGGGGTGAACGTGGTCGATGGCCGTTGGCTTTTCAAGGTGAAGCGCCCTCCTGGAGAGCCGCCTGTGTTCAAGGCGCGTTACGTGGCTAGAGGCTTCAGTCAGCGCGAGGGGGTGGACTTCTTTCAGACTTTCGCTCCTACCCCGAAGATGACTACTCTTCGGGTTCTGCTACACGTAGCGGCTCAGCGTGACTACGAGCTTCACTCCCTCGACTTCTCCACTGCCTTTCTTCAGGGCAGCCTTCACGAGCAGGTCTACCTGCGTCGTCCTCAGGGCTTTACTGGCACCTTCCCCCCTGGGACCCAGTGGCTTCTGCGGCGCCCAGTCTACGGCCTGCGCCAGGCGCCTCGTGAGTGGCACGACACGCTGCGTGCTACTCTTGCTGACCTGCAGTTCTTTCCGTCCTCTGCAGACCCCTCGCTCTTCGTTCGTGCTGGCTCGACTCCGTTCTACATCCTCGTCTACGTAGACGACCTGGTCTTTGCCACAGCTGACAGGGACGCACTGGCCTCCGTGAAGGCTGAGCTGCTGAAGAGACACACCTGCACTGACCTTGGAGAGCTGCGCCGTTACCTTGGCTTGCAGATCTCCAGGGACAGAGCCGCGCGCACCATCACCCTGACTCAGTCACACTTGGTGCGCCAGGTCCTTCAGAGGTTCGGCCTTCAGTTCTCCTCCGCACAGCCCACCCCTCTTCCTCTGGACCACAGACTCTCCGCTCCAGTTCCTGAGGAGTCGGTAGATCCCAGTGGTCCTTACGCTGAGCTAGTGGGTTGCCTCATGTACCTGATGACTTGCACTCGCCCAGATCTCGCATACCCTCTCAGCATCCTGGCTCGTTTTGTGGCCACAGGCAGACACCGACCTCAGCACTGGTCTGCCGTTAAGAGGGTTTTGCGTTATCTTGCAAGTACATCGGGCATGGGGTTAGTGCTAGGCGGACGCAGGCCAGTGGTCCTTACTGGACACACAGACGCTTCTTGGGCAGACGACGCCGAGACGCTCAGGTCTTCCCAGGGCTACTGCTTTAGCCTTGGCTCAGGTGCTGTCTCGTGGAGAGCTACCCGCTCCTCGTCGGTTGCCCAGTCCAGCTGTGAGGCTGAGATCTACGCCGGTGCCATGGCGGCACAGGAGCTCCGCTGGCTGACCTTCTTGCTCACTGACTTAGGTGAGCGGCCTAGCTCTGCCCCGGTCCTGTACGCTGACAATAGGGCCATGATTCTCCTGTGTCAGGAGCCTCGACTCGAGGGCAGAGCGAAGCACATCCAGCTGCGGTACTTCCTCCTGCGCGAGCTACAGCAGCGGCGCCAGGCTCGCGTAGTACACTTGGCCTCCGGTGCCAACACAGCTGATATCTTTACGAAGGCGCTTGCGCCTAAAGATCATCAGCGGCACTGTTTACAGCTTGGTCTGGTTCCTGTAGTCTCTCACTTACTCGGGCCTTGACTTTGTACTGTCGTATATATATATATGTATACACTCAGACTGGACTTGTGTCCTCTCACAGTGGTTGGACTAGTAGTGCCGCCCTGTACTCGTTCTTGCCTTGTCTGTACTCCTTCTGACTGGTCTTTTAGACCCTTGTCTCAGAGGCTGGACTAGTAGTGCCACTCTGAGCTACTTGTCTAGAACATTCCCCTATGCAGTCCAGGGGGTGTGTCAAACATGTGTAGTTATCATGTTTGTATAGACTGTATAGGGTCACCTTCTAGAGAGTACAATATTTAGGTATATGTTTGCCTACCTAGCTCCTTAGTTCTTCAACATGGTTTCAGAGCAATCCCTTCCGCTCAGGCCTTCTCCTCTCGCTTCCGCAGCGTACTCTCCCCCCTCCCGTCTCTTTCGCGCCGCCGTGGCAGTCATGTCGTGCTGCCATGGCGGCTTGGTCGTGCTGTCGTGGGAGCCTCGACACGCTGCCGGGGCGTCGAAGTCACGCCGTGGTGGAGTCGTTGTGCTGCTGTGGCGGCGTCGATGCGCCAATGCACGGACGGCAGCAGCCATTGCCCAGTTTTAGCGCCGTCCATCTCGCCTGCACGCCAGTAAGCGCCGCGCCATGGCTCCTCGCTGAAGATTCGCCCTCCCCCCCCCCCCCCCGCGCTCCCCCACCCCGCCCCTCCTCCTCTGCCTTTCCCCTCCTCCCCGCCGCAGCTGCTGGCGGCCTCGTGCCGTCCTTCCCCTCATCGTCGCAGTGTGAGCCACGCCACCGGGTGCCTCGGGCGTCGCCGCTGCCGCCACCTGGTGCCTCGACGCCGCCGCCACCGCCGCAGGTGCTGCAAGCCCTGCCGACGCCGCCACCGCTGCGACCCGCCGTCGACATCGCCTCCTCGATTGCCGAGGGGTCGACCCGTTAGTAGACGCCACAGCTGCTGAAGGGCCAGGGGGTGCAAGGGTTTGGGGGTGTTGCGTATGGGGTGGGCTTTAGACTACCAAGCCTAGGGGGTGTGTCAAATTATATATTTTATGTATATATTTGTGTAGGCTTGGTAGGTGTGCTACGATTAATGAATCCTACTAGTTCTTTAACATGCACATAGTACACAGCGAAGATACGGTATCATGTCGGATGCACTACGTGTGTAGACCCGCATCTGAGAGTGAACAATGCACAATATTTGTGCACAATTACAACTGCTCATCATCACCCATTTTCCATCCTCACTGCTTGCTGCAGCTTGTCAGCCAACCTCCGAGCGTCCACCATAGCAGCACGCACCGCCTCCCTCTCACACAGCACCGGCAGCACCGGCAACACCCACCTCAACCTCTCTTTAATCACATCCGCTATAACCTGCATGCTCCTATCCTCCATCGACCCATCCTCCACTTCCTCCCTCTCCCTCTCACTCGCATTCACCAGCAGGCCCCTTGCACCCCAGTAGTGATTCACCCGTATCAAACCAGGATCAGCCACTAAGGTCTCTCCCGAGTGCATGAGGGCACGGTGGGGAGCATTGGAGAGGAACCCGAGGGCGGCGGCGGGCTGCAGCAGCAGCTTGGCGCGCAGGCGGTCGTGGTGGTCGGGCGGGCGCAGCGGGCGGTGGATGAATCGCTCTATAGTGAGGCGCACGGGGGGAGGGCGTGGGTAGCCGATGAAGAACTGGTTGTAGACTAGGATCTGGAGGGTGGGGAGGGGGCGAGGTGGGGGAGGGCAGAAAGGGGAGAAGGTGAGACGGCAGTGGTGAGTGAAGGGCGGTGGTGAGTGAAGGGCAGTGGTGAGTGAAGGGAGGTGGTGAGTGAAGGGCGGTGGTGAGTGAAGGGCGGTGGTGAGTGAAGGGCGGTGGTGAGTGAAGGGCGGTGGTGAGTGGAGGGCAGGGGAGAATACATGCAGTGGCGTGGAGACGATAGGAGGCTGTTGAGGCTGTTGAGGCCTGCACACGGTGATGTCTGGAAAGGGTAGTGGTAGCTCACCTGTGTGGCCTCTCGCCCTTCCCCCTCGCTCCCCTCTCCCTCTCCTCTTCCTCTTCCTGCCCCTTCACCAGTGCCTAACCGCACAGAATTGTCGCCACTCCTGCTGCCACCTGCACCGGAGTTTTGGGCGGCGCAGGGGCGGCGCAGCAGGAGGCGCGTGAGGAAGAAGGGGCGGGTGTCGGGCGGCATGAAGAGGTACTCGTCCACGTCAGCAAAGGCCACCCACTTAGACTCGTGGCGGTGGTGCTGGGGGGAATAGATCACCACGCGTGGGGGAAGAGGTGGGGGGGGAGGGGGGAGGGATGACTAAAAGGAGGGGGGGATGACTAAAAGCATGGCTTTAACAGACCTCAAACTACACGAGGTACAAGAGGGCGTGGAGTGAAGTGCGAGTGAAGTCAGATTTTGAGTCGACTCAAATGAAGTCAGACAGAGGAGGAGGCAGCGCAGGAGGGGAATTAAGGGAGGGCATGTCACCTGGAGGAAGTGCGAGAGGGAGGTATCCTGGTCGAAGTGGTAGTCAGCACCGGCAGGGGGAGGCGCTATGTGGTGCAGGCGGTGGTAGGTGAGCAGCCCTGCATGTGAGTAGAGAGAGAGGGTGGTCGCCTGGCTCTCGGCGTCGCTGCAAGCACAGTCGTACCAGAACACGTGCTCTGCACCCGCATACCGCATGTACTCGATCCACTGGAGATGGGGGAAAGGGAAGAAGGAGCCGCAGTGGGAGTGGGGAAGAAGGAGCAACCACATAAGTGTGTGAGCGCACAAGGCACAGTCGTACCAGAAGATGTGCTCAACGTCGGCATAGCGCACGTACTCTACCCAATGTAAGGACACGACCCTCCCTCCGCGACACCACTCTGTGGAACAATATCTCTTGGGCCACTATGCCTCGAGCCACTAACCCATGGGCCACTACCCCCAGGGCCAGCACCCCTCCTTTGAGTGAAGCGCGCACCTGGAAGGTGGAGAACGCAGCAGCCTGGCACTGCTCCGACCACACGCCAGCACCACCAGTCGCAGCAGCAGCGGCAGCAGCACGGTTGAACGCCATGGCTGACAGGAAGAACCTCCACTCGCCCTCCCGCGCCTCGCTAACGCTACCCCTGCCACTTGCACTCTCATGGCCGCCCCCGCTGGCCCCCCTGCTACCCCCCCTGCTCTTCCACCTCCCTCGCTCATCCCCTGTGTGACTGCCTTGACTTGTCTGACTTCTCTGACTTCCTGGCCTACGTTGACCCAGCCCCACTGCCACCTTCCCCCCACCCCTAGGTCAATGGCCCCCACCATCCCTCCCCCTTCTCCTCCTCCCCTCCTTCCCTCCTCTCCCTTCCCCCTCCGCCGCCCATTCTTCCCCCAGCTTGCCCAGCCAATACCTGTGCTTGCTGCCAGCTCCGCTCCAGCCAATGGGATGCAGCCACGTGGGCAGGAGGCGAGAGAGCCAGGGAGGGAGCCACGTGGAGGAGGACGACTGGTGGAGCGAGAGGAGCACGTGGGCCAGCCTGGCACGGCCGGCAGCATCGTATGGGTCGGGCTGGTCAGTCCCATTACCTGCCGAGAATGCGCTGCTGTTCCTGCCGCCATTGCCATCTATCGTTCCACCGCTGTTGCTAGTCGCGGGGCAGAGTGAGCGGCGGAAGGAGCGCGAGAGGGTGGCGTTGGAGCATGCGAGGGCAATGGCAGCGGCCTCGATGCTGCGAGTCACGCCTGCCAGCATGCGCGCATCAGGGTCCCGCTGCTGGGGGATGGAGCAGGTGGCCACTGGGGCAGGTGTATCTGCGGCCCGGAGGCGAGGGGTGTAGGGGGGGAGGAGTTGGTTTGGGAGAGAGGAGTGGGGGGAAGAGGGAGAGAGGAGTGGGGGGAAGAGGGAGAGAGGAGTGGGGGGAAGAGGGAGAGAGGAGTGGGGGGAAGAGGGAGAGAGGAGTGGGGGGAAGAGGGAGAGAGGAGTGGGGGGAAGAGGGAGAGAGGAGTGAGGATGTGTGGGACAGATGATGGCAGGTGCAAGTTTCGATGAAGAGAGGCGCATGATGGTGTGTGGGAGTGGCAGGAGGGTGTGTGGGACTGGCATGACACCAAGCACGGGCCGGCACTCATGCTACCTTGCGGGTATGGCTTCAAGAGGCGCTGGAGAAAGGAATCACGCGACCTGCATGCACGGCACGGCACGGCACGGCCACACATATGGGGCATGGGGCATGGGGCATGAGGCATGGGCATGACAAGACACAAGGCAGGTTAGTGCCATGTGCTGACATGCCATGGGTTGCCATTTGCTGACATGCCATGGGTTGCCATGATCCATGTGGTGCTGCTGCTATGCAGGGATGCACATGCAGCACAGGGTGGCACAGCATGGCACACCGTGCAGAGTGCAGCACCATGCTGCATCACACCATTCCCAACAGCCCACTCCTCCACCTCGCATGCGCCAACGCCTCTTAATGCCTCATGCTCCTCCCCCACTCCCCGCCGAGTTGTCCTCTCCCCTAACCCCCCACTCCAACCCCCCCCCCCTCCCTCCCCCGCTCACTCCAGCATCTCGGGGAACACTGCAGCCAGCGCGTCCGCGATTTCCGCCGCCCATTGCGCTAATTCCGTCACATTCCGCAGCGCCCCCATGTCCTGCGACTGCTGCTGCGACTGTAGCTGCGACTGGTCGCCGTCGCCCTGCGACTCCACGGCGGCTTCTCCGCTCCCCTCGTCGTCCGAGCCTGCTGCCGAGCCTCCCGCATCCGCGGATCGGAGGCTCGGCGCTGAGTTGGGGTAGAGCGCATCGCGGGATGGGGGGACGCGGAGGGGGGAGAGCGGGGAGGAGAGGCGGAGAAGCAGCGCCGCCTGCGAGAGTAGCAGCGCGACGGCCGCGCCGAGCAGGAAGGGGCGCGCGGAGAAGAGGGGGAGTGCGAGGGCGGACGGGGGAGAGTTACCGGTGGGGCGCGGGGACTGAGCGGAGCCGCGGGGCGGCATGCCGGCGGAAGCTTAAAGCGCGGCGGCGACTAGTACGACGAGCATGGCGGAGCATGCTGTGCGGACTGACGAAGAGTGGAAGGCGGGCTATTCACTGCGACGCGAGTGGTTCACGTAGCGAGGACAGCGGGACGCGAATGTGTCACACAGACAGCGGTCGCCCGTGGTGTCGCACCTCCGACGAATGGGCGATCGGCTCATCGACCCTGGCGAACCCCATTGTCGCTCGCTTGCCCGCTGAAGGATATGAAATTCACACAGCTGACCCGTGCACGTGAATTTGTGTCTAGAGAAACGTCTCCAACAAATTCACTTTTTGTGAGCAACCAGCTTTGAGACATTTTGCCCACCTGGCACGCGTCAGCCAGCAAGCGCGCAATGCCACGTCACCATGACATCGCCCCTGCGTACTATTAGTCATGACCACATGGTCCCCCGCTGCTGCCGGGATTTCCGCCGCAAGGGCCGCCGTCTTTCTCGGCCTGGTCCTCCTCCTTTCCTCCGCGCATCCGGCGCAGTCGGAGCGCCTCTTCGGGTCGCTGTTAAGAATAGGACGCGAGTTCGCCGCGACGCGCCTTAGATGGCCTACTAACAAGGACCCGCCTACGATCCCCTCGCTAGCGCAGCTCCCCCCAGAACCCGACCCGCGCATCGATAACTATGACTTGGAAGGGGATGCGATCGATGCGGCCAGTCTCAAGCTGCCACGTGGCCCGCCGGAGCTGTCGGATCCGGAGCTCCGGGTGAGGCTCGGCAGCGTCGCCCGAAGTAAGGAGTCGTGGCTCGGCAGAGCGATGGACATGGACGAGGCGTGGGCGGCGTGGGATAAGGCCGTGGGATGCGCCGCGTTCCGATCCAAGCACGCAGGTTCGGCGCCTTTGGGTGGTCTAGACTGTCAAATAGTAGCTCGATTGAAGCTTCTATGAAAAGTCAAATCATATTAATAAGATCTTATGTGCTTGGCTCCTTTGCACGTGTGTGTGTGTGGTGTCTGGGGGATGGGGGGGGAGAGGGGGGGGGGGTGTTGGGGGGGGGCGGGAATGGGGGAGGAGGGCATCCAGATTTGATTGCCGAGTACCAGAATGCCACGTGGCCCGAGAGCAGCAGCTTCCAGGATGCGTCCTCTCCACCGTGTTCGGCTCTCAGGCTGCCTCATGTCACGATTCAGGTGCTGCCAACAGAAAGGCCAGATTCCTGTGATGCGTCCGTGCGTGTGTCCACTCGTCCAGAGGCTAGACTGCATGCCATAACCGTCTCAGCCTTTCTCTAGCCGTTCACATGTCGTCTAGACTCTTACCGATACCACATGCTGTTATCAGGTATCCACCATTTTGACTCTCCTTAGCTTTGCTCCTCCCCCTCACTTCCATTCACCTCTCCCTTCCTTCCAGGTGGTTTCCTCGCCCTCCGTGCCTGACTGGCTGGACGGGCTCTTCGCCTGCCCGTGCCGCCTCTCCTGCTCCTTCTCCCGCAGCGCCGCCCTCGCCGCCTCCCCGCACGCGCTGCTCTACGAGGGCGAGTTGCCCCGAAATATGAGCAACCAGCAGCGCGACAAGGAGGAGGGAGGTCGGCCCCTTGTTGTGCGCATGGACATGGAGGGACATGTGGCCACGGACGCACCGCCACAGCATGCTCATGCTCATGCTCATGCTCATGCTCATGGTGCTGCTGATGGTGCTGCTGATGGTGCTGCTGATGGTGCTGCTGATGGGGCTGCTGATGGTGGTGGTGCTGGTGATAATGGTGGTAGTGGCAGCAGCAGTGGTGGTGCGGATGTGACAGTAGGGTATGGCCCGGATGCGGATGTGCAGGTGACGTACGCGGGGCAGCTGGAGCATGCTGACCGCAACCGACACGTGTCTGGGGTCAAGAGGAAGGTGGGTGTCGTGGGATGGCAAGGCATGGGGGTGGCATGGTGTGGGGTGGCGTGGCGTGGGGGGTGGCGTGGCATGACCTCGTGCAAGCTGTGCATCTCTGTTTCGAGCCCCCTCGTGCCACCTCGCCTATTTCGTCCCCCACCTGCCCATCCCGTCCCTGCCTGCCGCAGGGTCCTCCTCTCATCCACGCTGCATCTCGGCCGTCCTCCTGGCGCGAGCGCATTGGAGCGGTGGTGCGGCGCATGGCGCACAGCATTGGCAGCCGCACCAACAACATGAAGGAGGATGACGCCGATGTGCTCGCTACATACACCATGTGCCGGTGAGTGCTCTATACATACAGCATGTGCCGGTGTGTGCTCGATAAACACAGCATGTGCCGGTGAGTGCTCGATACATACAGCATGTGCCGGTGAGTGCTCGATACATACAGCATGTGCCGGTGAGTGCTCGATACATACAGCATGTGCCCGGTGAGTGCTCGCTACATACAGCATGTGCCGGTGAGTGCTCGATACATACAGCATGTGCCGGTGAGTGCTCAATACATACAGCATGTGCCAGTGAGTGCTCATACAGCATGTGCCGTGAGTGCTCGATACATACAGCATGTGCGGTGAGTGCTCGATACATACAGCATGTGCCGGTGAGTGCTCGATACATACAGCATGTGCGGTGAGTGCTCGATACATACAGCATGTGCCGGTGAGTGCTCCGATGCATACAGCATGTGCCGGTGAGTGCTCGATACATACAGCATGTGCCGGTGAGTGCTCGATACATACAGCATGTGCCGGTGAGTGCTCGATACATACAGCATGTGCCGGTGTGAGCTAGATAGCAAGGTGATGTGCCTGCCTGTGCTGCGTGTGACATGGAGCACAGCACAGGCAGCGGCGACTTTGTTTGACCAGTTGTGCTGTTCTCTGCGCCCGCTGGCCCCCTATTCCCTGTACGTCCTGTGAGCAGGTATGCAGGCATGCACGGTCAGAGGGTGGACTCGGACGGTGGGGAGGAGCAAGGGGAAGGGCGTAGGTGAGAATAAGGAGAGGGGGCCAAAGAGAGTGAGGGGAGGGCGTGATTGAGTCTGGCAGCAACAGCAGAAGCAATGCGAGTGGTGGAGGAACGAGGAGGAGGAGGAGGAGGAGGAGGAGGAGGAGGGAGGAGGAGGAGGAGGAGGAGGAGGAGGAGGGAGGAGGAGGAGGAGGAGGAGGAGGGGAGGGGGGTGGGGGAAGGGGGGAGAGGGGAGGAGGCAGCAGAGTGGACTGAACAAGCTGAAGAGCGCCCAAGGCGGCCAATGAGCATGCGAGAGATACGCCTTGGAGGGATACGCCTTGGAGGGATACGCTTTGGTGGGGGGGGTGTGTGGGGGCGGAGTGAGGAGAGCTGGGAGGAGGAGGAGGACGCAGGGGGGGATGCGCGGGGGGGGGCACAAGGACTGGTGGGACCACTTGCACTGCGTGCAGTCACACTACCTCTTCAACCTTGTTATAGAGTCACGCGAGGAAGGGGCTTCGTGACAGAGAAGTTCTTCCATGCGCTGGACGCAGGTGCGCAGAGGGGAATGGCCATGTGCTCATGCAGGGGCGTGAGACCATAGGGCGTCAGACCATAGGGGGTGAGACCTAGGGGGGAAGACCTAGGGGGGTGAGATCTAGGGGGGTGAGACCTAGGGGGTGAGACCTAGGGGGGTGGACCTAGGGGGGTGAGATCTAGGGGTGAGACCTAGGGGGTGAGACCTAGGGGGTGAGACCTAGGGGGGTGAGACCTAAGGGGGTGAGACCTAGGGGGTGAGATCTAGGGGGGTGAGACCTAGGGGGTGAGACCTAGGGGGTGGGACCTAGGGGGTGAGATCTAGGGGGGTGAGACCTAGGGGGTGAGACCTAGGGGGTGAGATCTAGGGGGTGAGACCTAGGGGGTGAGACCTAGGGGTGAGACCTAGGGGTGAGACCTAAGGGGGTGAGACCTAGGGGGGTGAGACCTAGGGGGTGAGACCTAGGGGGTGAGACCTAGGGGGGTGAGACCTAGGGGGTGAGACCTAGGGGGGTGAGACCTAGAGGGGTGAGACCTAGGGGGTGAGACCTAGGGGGGTGAGACCTAGGGGGTGAGACCTAGTGGGGTGAGACCTAGAGGGGTGAGACCTAGGGGGTGAGACCTAAGGGGTGAGACCTAGGGGGGTGAGACCTAGGGGGGTGAGACCTAAGGGGGTGAGACCTAGGGGGTTGAGACCTAGGGGGTGAGACCTAGGGGGTGAGACCTAAGGGTGAGACCTAGGGGGGTGAGACCTAGGGGGTGAGACCTAGAGGGGTGAGACCTAGGGGGGTGAGACCTAAGGGGTGAGACCTAGGGGGGTGAGACCTAGGGGGGTGAGACCTAAGGGGGTGAGACCTAGGGGGTTGAGACCTAGGGGGGTGAGACCTAGGTGGGTGAGACCTAAGGGGTGAGACCTAGGGGGTGAGACCTAGGGGGGTGAGACCTAGAGGGGTGAGACCTAGGGGGGTGAGACCTAAGGGGTGAGACCTAGGGGGTGAGACCTAGGGGTGAGACCTAAGGGGTGAGACCTAGGGGGTTGAGACCTAGGGGGGTGAGACCTAGGGGGGTGAGACCTAGGGGGGTGAGACCTAGGGGGGTGAGACCTAGGGGGGTGAGACCTAGGGGGTGAGACCTAGGGGGTGAGACCTAGGGGGGTGAGACCTAGGGGGTGAGATCTAGGGGGGTGAGACCTAGGGGGGTGAGACCTAAGGGGTGAGACCTAGGGGGTGAGACCTAGGGGGGTGAGACCTAGGGGGGTGAGACCTAGGGGGTTGAGACCTAGGGGGTGAGACGCTGAGGCAAGTGAGGCAAGTTCGTTTCATTTCAATCCGTTGACATCTGTGCTTGTTTTATCATCTTATTGTGTATCCATTCCTCTCCTCTCAACCCATCACTCCTATTACCACCCCTTCCTGCCCGCATGAGCACCCCCCACCCGGCGTCCTCCATCCAGGCACCGTGCCAGTGTACTATGGAGCACCTGACATTGACAGCTTTGCTCCCCCGGACTCGTTTCTGAATGCGGATTTGGTGCATCGGGACGAGTTAAGGCGCACCATAGCCTCAGTTGCTGAGGACCCGGTGAAATACGCCAACTTCCACGCCTGGCGCAGGTGCTGTGGGAAACCGGACAAATTTCCCTCCTTGATGGCGCATTGTGTTGAATTGAATGGTATTGTCTGGTCTCATTCTGCACGATGGGTTTTCACAGCAGCCCAATACTTTGTTTGTACCGACTCTACCGGTACTTGCCGATGCAGGTGTGGAGTATTGGGTCATTACCAGCGTGCGCTTAGTCTCAGCATCGACTCATTTCCTTGCAGATTGTGCGCGCATATAAGCAGCAGAAGTGTCGGCATTTCCTCTTAAAATTGTAATTGTATGTTGTAGTGTTGCTGATGTCATCCAGCGGTGTAGGATTGTAATGTAATGCGTGCAAGACGTTGCATCGAGCTCCACAGCGAGGACCATCCCACCTCTCAACCCCGTGCTATCGTCTGTCATCAGGCCGAAACCGCAAGTTCCGTTGCCATTGTAGCCGCTACAATAGCAACAGACCCCCTTCCTCCAGTAGTCGCTTCACCCCCAGCCTAGTCTACCTCGTCATTGCCCGCCTGTGCTGGTAGTTAGCTTCAGCGATTTCAACGGACTTTCTCTTCCCCGGCCTCGCGAT